TGGGGAAGCCAAATGCCCAGCAAAAAGGTCCAATTTCTGAGATATAGGATGGGGTCCAGTCAGGTAGTAGGGAGTGGGAAGGTAGGCCCTGAAGGAGTTTTCAGAGGCTAGCCATGGTGTCCTCTGAATACTCTTGATGAGTTTCAAACATACAGAATGACAAGGGCAAAAACTCAGAGGAGGAAAATCTTAATGGTGCTTGGGAAGGATGAGGCATTCATGTGGTCAGAACGCAGGGTCCAAGGAGACCAAACCAAAGATGGACTGAGTTATGGGTGGCAGCCAAACAATGAGATCCTTTAGACCATTCAKTGAACACAGTTGAATCTTGTCCTCTAATCTAGGAATTGGAAGCTAAGGGAGCAGAGGATTGACAGGATCAGATTTAGGTATGGCTACACACGTGGAAGCTTAGTATTTATTCATTCACTCGTTAAATATTTATAGAATACCTACAATGTGCCAGTGGTGTTCAAGATTCCTAGGTTTCATCAATGAATAAAACAAAGACCCCTGACCTTTTGAACTTATATTCTCATTAGGTGAAGATAATAAACAAATATAGTATTTTTAAGAAGCAAATCATTGGGGTTGGGATTGTGGATCAGAGGTAGAGGACTCTCATACCATGTGTGAGGCACTTGGTTCGATCCTCAGCACCACATAAAAATTAAATAAAGATATTGTGTTCACCTATAACTAAAAAATAAATATTTTTTAAAAAAAAGAAGCAAATTATTGCTTCTCTCGGTCTACAGAGAGATGGCCATTATTTGTCAGTTCTGACAAATAAACTCTCATGTGTATCTCTGAAAAAAAAAAGAAGCAAATTATATTTAGAAGGTCAAGAATACATTTTAAAAAACAGGATAAGAGAAAACAAAAGTTCTGGCCTGTAATTTTAAGTGGAGTGGACACATAGGCTTCATTTAGGCAACATTTGAGTAAAGACTTAGAGGAGGGAGATAACCATACAGGTCTCTGAGCAAGAGCATTCTAAACAAAGGAACAGCTAGTGGCTTGGTTTGGAGGGGTGATCAAGGAAAGTAGATCAGGGAGACCAGTCAGGAGACTGTTGGAAGATACTGAGGGGCACAAACCAACATAGGCTGTGAAGATAGAGACCTTGGAGGCAAAATTGGCAGGACTTGGTACCTGCCTCGATATGGGAAGCATGTAATACTATATTATGTTATCCATTTCAAGGATAACAAATATGAAGCTATATATGCTGCCTCTAGGGCAAGTATGAGAATGGTCAACACATTCCATTCTGGATGACTCTATTGATTACCTGGATGCTCCTCCCCTGACCCTGCTTCCTAATTAACTTGATCTTTAGTGACTTTTCCTCCAGACTACCCGCTGGATACCCTCATGTCCACAGATGAATACTATCAGCCTTTTTTTTTTTTTTTTAACCAGGGATTGAACTCAGGGGCACTTAACCACTGAGCCCCATCTCCAGCCCTATTTTGTATTTTATTTAGAAACAAGATCTCTCTGACTTGCTTAGTACCTTGCTTTTGCTGAACTCTCAATTCTCTTGCCTCAGCCTCCTGAGCTGCTAGGATTATAGATGTGCACCACCGTGCCCTGCCCTATCAGCTTTTAATACTCTCAAACCTGCTGACTTCTCCATCTTATCATTTCACTGTTATGGGTGGAATTGCCCCCACCCCCAAAAAATAAAAAGAYATAACATCCTAACTCACAGTATGTCAGAATGTTATCTTATTTGGAAATAGGGTCTTTACAGATGCAATCAAGTTATGATGAAGGGTAGACCCTCATCCAATATAACTGGGTTTACAAGGAAGGGAATTTGGATAAAAACAGACACAAAAGGAATACGGTATGGAGATGCACAGGGAAAATGCCATATGAGACAGAAAATTGAAATGGTGCATCTATATGTGAAGAATGTCAAAGATTGTTGCCAAACCATCAAAAATTAGGAGGCAAGAGAGGACTCCCAATAGGTTTCAGGAGAATGGCCCTGCTAACACCTTTATTTTGGACTTCTGGTCTCTGGAACAGTAAATAAAAAACAATAAATCAATAAACAATAAATCCTGTTGTTCTAAGCTACCCTTATTTTGTTACAACAGCCTTAAGAAACAAATACAGCTACAATATTCCTCCTCTTCTATGGTACTCCATCTCATCTCTCCTCAGATATCTTCATGAGGACCTCCAGGCCACTGACCCCTGTACCCTTCCTATTATTTCCCTCCCAACCCAGTTCGGATGCCCTGGTCCCTTACTACACCCACTCTTGTGCTAGTCTCCCCATTATTTTGTCATTTCTGGATGAACCCAACAGTGCTTTCTCTGATTCTTCACCTATATTATAAGTGCTGCTGGAGCTTAGAAACCCCTACTGATGAYACTACAATTTCATGGTCACCAGCCTACACTGGGATTTTAGCCCTTTCTGGATATCTTTACCCCCACCCCCTCCTTGTCACCTCTCCCAATTACTGCTGTCTCATCCTTCCTTCCCACTAGCTTCTCTGCCTTACCCTCAGCTGTAGAGTGAACTACTACTTCATGTAGAGCCTTCTGAACTCCCTCATGCCCTATCTTCACTCTACACCTTTTTGCATACTTGCCCATCCTCATCTCCTTCCCTCCATTACGGGACTCATCTCTCCTCTAATTATTTGAAAGTTGCTTCCACTTTCTTACCTTTTGTGCCAAGCCAAAATCTTTTCTAAGAAATTATAGAAGCAGAAGCTATACTGCAGTGGATTTAGAGAAAGCAGGAAATAATTATACCCAATTCTGTGCTCTCTTAAGCTTGGTCAAGCTTTCTCACCCCAAAGGTCTCACTTCTTTTTCTGGCCCTCTCTGTGATATTCTGCCTGAAGGTCCCAGCCGGGCCCTTTAGAGACCAAGGGGAAGGAAAAATGCCTCATTATCCATCCCTCCCTGTCTGTATCCTATTTCCTGATTCTCTGAACTGCGGGTTTTGGATTTTAACTCCAGCTGTGTTCCTCCAAAATTCCTCTCTTACCATTTTGAGGGCCCTCAGGGGTGCCTCAATGACCAATTGGAGTCCTATCTGGGGTTCCAGAGCTTGCAATGCTACCTTACTGAATCACTCCTTCAGCACAGGTCACCATACTTATACATGTGATCCCTCTACCCCACCACAGCAAAATGGATCAGGATGGGATGCTGAGTCAAAGGCCTATAAATCTGCAAGATAATCTGGCCCCAAAGTTCTTAAGACTCCAGCCACTGAAAACTGCTGATGGAGGAAGACATACAAATGAAGATACTCAGAGAAAAAGCAATATAGAAGCTAAGAGAGGGTAAAAATCCTGAGTTACAGATCCTTTGGCTTTGCCATTTTCAAGCGTCTGGAATTGTCTTCTCAACTTCCAAAGTCCTGGTTCCATTGGCAGGACATGTATGTGATGACTCTTTAATGAGAATGACCTACAAAATCTAGTGTATATGTGGGTAAGAAGGGAAATTTTTAAAGTACATTGAAAATTAAGCGTGGGGGCTGGGGTTGTGGCTCAGTGGTATAGTGCTTGACTAGCATGTGTGAGGCACTGGGTTTGAACCTCAGCACCACATATAAATAAATGAATAAAAATCCAATAACAACTTAAAAAAGAAAGAAAATTAAGCTGTGGATGGCATTTGAACTGTCTTAATTTTAAAGTATGCTGATATACTTTAACAGTAGTTGCAGATCCTTGTCATTTTGCTGTCTGAAAATAATTGACGTTGTTTTCTAAAACCGTGGTGTGATCTACCATCAGTGTTAATGCAGAATTATTGTATACTGACACAGCAGCACACATGTGTAATCCCAGCTACTCTGAAGGCTGAGGCAGGAGAATGTCAAACAAGTTCAAGTCTAACCTATCCTGGGCAACTTAGCAAGATCCTATCTCAAAAAAAAAAAAAAGTGGGGGGGCTGGGGATGCAGCTTATTTCTAAGAGTGCTTCTGAGTTCAATTTCTATTACAGCTATACACACATATTGTCATATATTTAAGCTGCATTTTACTTATCTTTATTTTAGAAACTAAAATGAAAACTAAAAAAAAAAAAAAAAAAAAAAAAAAAAATCCTAGGCTGGATATGGTGGTGCAAGCCTGTAATCTTGGTGACTTGGGAGGCCAAGGCAGAATCAAGGAAGTTTGAGGCTAGTCTCGGCAACTTGCTAAACAACTCAGTAAGACCCTGTCTCAAAACCAAAAATAAAAGGGACTGGGGATGTGGCTCATTGGTTAAGAGCCCTTGGGTTCCATCCTTGGTACCAAAAAAAAAAAAAAGAAAGAAAGAAAAGAAAGAAAGAAAACTCTTAATTAAGTGAAAGGAGAATAGTCAGGCAGTGGCTATCAGCAAGATACTGAATCACTACAGCAGCCATAATCACCTTCATGGGTATGTGAAATGCTTCATGACCCCATGCATTTGAAGGGACTGGTAGGGCAGCCAGAGGTTTCATCTCTCCTAATATTACCCATGAATTCTTATCACCTACCCCTCAAATAGGGTCCTCACATCACTCAGGACTCAGAATCTATCTTGGAAAGCAAAGGATGCAGTATTTAAAGTTCTCACCATAGCCTACTGGCCTTAAGTCCTTGTCAGCTCTCCTAACACCTTAATCCCATCTGCCTAGTACCAGGAAAATATTTCTACACCTCAAATATTTCTACTATAATGTGAGCTCAGAAGAATCCCCAAATTTCTGCTTTTCTTATGYACACTCAGGCTGCTGGACACATTGGAGAAAATCTCAAGATCTATGGGAAACCCAACTGATTCAATTCTTGAGTCTACCACTACCCACAATCCTGCCCTAGTGTCCATAGCCTCCTGGCTACTAATACAATCTTTACCTCTCTCATCCCTGATCTCTCAGACCTGGAATGGAGCCCAGGCCATGGTGAGTCTAAGGCCAAGGTGAGGTAGAAAAGGAATGGCAAAGGGTAAAAAGGCAAGGAAGAGACTTAGAAAAAGATGTGGGACTGAGGCATTTTTTTAAGACAGGAAAGAACTGAGTCAATTATAATAGCAGTTAACATTTATATAGCACTAGCTGCCCAAGTGTCATCTAAGTATCAAATATTTATCTCTCTTTATTTAATCCTCAAAACAACCCCATGAGGTAAACACTATCATTTAGAACACTAAAGCACAGAAGAGTAACTTGTCCAAGATCACAAGGCAGTAAATTTCAAGTGGTAGAACCAGGATTCAAATCCAGACAGGCTGATGCCTGGGTCCATGATCCCACTATAACATATGCTGCAGAAGGGGAGAAATCTGAGCTTGCAGAATTCCTGAATGAGCCCAAAGCAGGTGGCAAACAGCCAACCATGGGTCTACATAGATTCAGGTCACTGCTTGAAGATTCTTATTCACTAGATCCAACACCATCCTGAGCCTATTCTTTCTCTGTATCCAGCCTATTAGCTCTCAGGGGGCAAAAGATAGGGACTTCTATTCCTTTACTCCCACTTCCACACAGCAGGCCAAGGTTCATCTGACAAATGGGCAGAACCTTTATTTCCTAACTCTAGACCTCCATTAGAAGGCAGGTCAAATGTACTGTAGGCTGAAGGCAAAGCCCTTCTCAAACAATCCAGAAATCAGCAGAGACCCCCACACATGGTGTTCTTCATAGCAGTCCCTTCCAATAGGCCAGACGGAAGGGGCAGTAGGACTTCTGTGGACCCAAGCTGTGTTGGGAATGGTGAGCAGTCAAAGGGGGGTCTCAGAAAAGGCACAGCCATCTCAGATGTTCAGACCTAGAGAACAGCCTGGTTCAGCAGRTCTTCAGGACCGGTTGTCTCGAGGTCTTCTTCGGGGTCGGGGGCCACAACTGGAGCTGGGAATGGAGCCCAGGCCAGGGGGTGCCCCTGGGGGCTGGTAGCCACACTCACTAGGGTCCAGAGGGTCCCGGCTGAGCAGTACCCACACTGCAGGCACATTGCGACGTACTGTGAGGGGGTCTAAACCTGTGTCAGGTGAAGTTGGGACCCAGCTGTCTTCAGTCTGCAGGAAACGCAGTTTGGTGAGCTGATGCAGACCTGGAACTCGACGCTTGACAATCTCAGCGCAGCTGACAGCTTTCCCTGCAGCCCGGCCAGAACCTGAAAACACCACATGTCGWGCACTGCCTCCCTCCAGTCGACCCAGTGCAAGTCCCAGCAGGTTTCGAATTTTGCTGCCATCTCGGACCCGCATCTCCAGGGTGTCAGGAGGTAGCTGGGGCATTGGGGAAGGTGCTGGAAGCTCTATAGAGCCAGCTTTCCGGTAGTGCTCCATCCTGCTTGCTGTGTTGTCTGTGACTCTCACTGCCCACTGCAGAGAAGTATCAGATGAGTGGTAGGCAATGTGCCCCCCAGCCATTCTCCATCACTCTCTCCACCCCTCTTCAGGATATGGCCCTTTTTCTCATCCCAGACTTCCCAGGAACAGTGTCACATCCTCTCACTCCCAAGCTTTTAAGACCAGGAATCATGTCTACTTCATTTTGGGAAGAGGCTTACCCCTTACACGCCCTCCCCCTCCTCTAGACAGCATCACAATACACCCCTCTCCCTCAGCAAATCTGGAGTCCCGGAGACAGGACCAAATTTCCAAGCATTGGGTTCTTTGGGCAAGGACTAGATCCCATTATTCCAAGCCATTAGGACTAGTAGGGAGCCCCAACCCCATTCTGGGCTTCTTAAGGCAGGGCCCAGAACTCTTACCGTGGCTCTCTAAAAACAAGACCGAGAGCTCCTATCAGGGTTCTTCAAGTACAGGGAGAGGCAGTCCCTTCATTTTGTTCTCCCTGAGAACAGGGCCAAGCCCCTTTGCCCCAGGTTTCCCGGGACACAGCAAGAGCTCTTACCCAATGCTTCCCAAAWCAGAGTCAACATTTTCTCTGGGGTCCCTAGGATAGGGCTAAGCAGCCTTTGCCCCCAAATTATCAGGGTCGATCTACATCAACCTAGAGTAGTCAGAAACTCAGGGGCAGAGGCTCGAGAGGAGGGCTGCGCGGGCCACTCCGGGCCAGCTTTGGCCATCTCCGTTGCCTCGGGCCGCTTCCAGGTCCCGCGGGCCACTGCAGCTAGGGAGCAGGAGTCCTCTCGGGCTACCTCCAAGCGTCGCCACCCTGCTGGTACCTGGATCTCACCTCAGCAGACCCAGAAGGMTCCCGCCTGATCCTCGCAGCGCCGCCAAGATGGCGTGCGGGCGGGGTGCGCGCCGAGACCGCGGGCCCGCGCACGCCGAACGCGGGCGGAGCCTGAGGGAAACCGGGGAGGAGCTTGGACCCGCTGAGGGAGCGGAGCTAGGACTTGCTGACAGGGGACAGAGGCACTGGTCTCCTCAGTTAAATCCCGGGCAGGGGCACTCCAATGGGGCCAAGAGGTCCCTGAACAGGAGGGGAGGAGCCATCTGAGGAGTCCTGCGTTTGAAGGACAAGGGATTCGGGAGACAAGATGGGAGGGAGGGCATTACCTGTTGGACTCCGAAGAAGCCGAGGTGACGCAGGCGAACGAGTTTCAGTTTGGAGTGGCCACTTATGCAGTTGCGCGGCGACAACCTCAGTTACCGAGTGCTGAGCTCGACTCATCCTGTGAGCACTGGCGAATTATGGGGGTTTTGTCAGGGGTCAATCGAACCACAGCTTGTGTAGAGCTCACTTGCGCAGATGAGGATAGTGTTTGAGGTGGGAATGCAGTCGGCGTGACCCTGGGAAGGGGCTATACCGCATACAGCCCATACCAGCCTCACAGGGCTCCTGGCCACGGGACCCAGAGGCGTGTCCACAGAGCCTAGTCGATGCCCGGCGCCTAGTAGGCGTTCAAATATTTATTGGATGATTTTTTGAACTAATGAACCACAGAAATTGCAGTGGGGATGGAGAAAAGATTAAGTTGGGAGATATTGGTGGGTAGTTATGGTGAAGAGTTGGTRACTGTTTGAATGGAGAAGTAGTCTAGAATAATGCCAGGTTTCAGAACAGTTTGAACACTCTGAGTATCAGGAGCAGGGAGACCATATCGGTAGGGGGTGGTCAACAGACAGTTGGTAAGCAATCTGGAGCCAAATCACTCCCTGAGACCACAAGGAGGCAGCATTTAGCGGAGTGTGGTGCCCATTCCAGTTTCTTCTAGCTCTTTCACAGCATGCTCCCTTACCCCACCTTCCCAACTGCCCCTCCCCAACCTAAAACTTCCTGCATACAAATCTCCTGGGCTCTCCCAAGCGGTTAATGGCACCGCACAAACTCCCAAGAGAGAAATTTCAAGGTTTCTCTCTGCATTTGCACATATTGCTCCCTTGGCTTGGAAAGTCCCTGCATTGACACCCACCAGGGCTGCCTGTTTCATAGCTTATTCTTTGTGCAGAAAAGGACCCTATGCCCACCTGGTAGCATTGCCCATTTGCTTGACTATCTCCTTAATAGCCTGTGCTCTACCTGTATCCTCTCTACCTGATGGCATATAACTTTTAAAGGGTACTTGGTAAATGAAGGATAAATGGAAGCACAAAGGAATGTCCCATTCACATCAATCAAATAAGAGCCTTCATCTTCAGAGCTCTACACCTCTCAGAAAGCCAGATTAAGATAGAACAGTTTCCAGTCCAACTACCAGGGAGGTTGACAGCTCTACCTTCCGCCACCCCCACCCTCACCACCAAGCCCATCCTAGACCAGAAGCTGGCACACTCCTCCAGTAATCTCTACAGTTTATTTATTATCACTGGAATAAATACATTGATGGGGGTGTGTGTGCAAACCATAACTGCCAGATAACCTAATCTCTGTACTCAGAACCCCACCTGAGTGCAGACAGGTGGTCCTTAAATTTCTCAAATACAAAGCTGCCTCTGCCTTGTTATAAAGACAGTTTGGCACAGGGCCCTGAAGCTTGGCTGCCCTGGCCAGCCCTGTGATGGGGAGCAGCTGTCATTCTTCTGCTGGCTTCACTTGCTTGGCAGCTTCTAGTTGGCAAAGCAGCTCATCCCACTGCACGAACTGCTTAGAAAGAAGCATTGTCTGGTCACAGGTCAAGGAGATAACAGGAGTCTTATTGAGGGAGTGATTTTGCATCTGCCAAAAGACATTGGGATGGGGAAGCAGGGAACAGACAGGCTAATTGGGATGGGAGGAGAGAGGAAGAGGTGGGACACAAGAATAGAGCTTGGGGAGAGCACCCCGGGATCTAGCTGAGCAGAAAGGATACAATCTTGTTGTATTCCTCCAGGAGAGCCTTGGACTCCTCAGTGATCTCCACACATTTGTCCTGTAGGGCCAAAGTGGCAGAGAAAGGATATGGGCAAAGTCCCATCTCTCACTAAACTTACTCCCCACAAAGCCTAATGAAGGTGAATGCTTACACCCAGAACCAAAGGAGCAAAAGGCTAAAGGGGCATTTTCAGGCCCCAGGATGGGTGTCTTAACAGAAGTCCAGAGATTTATGTAAGGGGAAGTGGGCCACACACTTAGGAAAACATTCTGTCTGTTATATGTCTTCTCCTTCTGAACCCTCTTTGAACTTGAAACTAAGAACTGGGGATAGAAAGAAGAGAGAGAGAGGAGAAGAGGAGAGAGAAAAAGGGAGCGCATCCTCCACCTATAATCAAGGACATATCATTCTCAGGAATTCTTGGGTACCTCCCAATTTCAACCTTGTTTCAAAATAGTCCTATACTGGGAGGCAGGAGGCCTGGATGTAGCCCTAGGCAAGTCCCTCTCCCACTCTAAGGCATATGGGAAATAAAGGATAAACATCCAAAGTATCAAGAGGAGGGCCTGAGGCCTGCTTCCCCAGATGAGAGGAGTGTGGATGACAGGCCTTACCATCTCTACTTTCCCTTTCAGTCCTCTTTCCTCTCATACCTGCTGCTGGATGTGAATCTGAGCCAAATGCTGTAGGCGGGCGGCATGCTCAGGAACGGCTGTAAAACACATTGCACACTATCCAATGATGCTTGTGCCCTCCCCCGGGACTGCTCAATAGTCTATTAGGTCTTCGGCAGGATTAGAGTATTGAGTGGAGAAGCTAAACAAACGCCAGGCTTCATCGACCACTGTAGCTGGAGGTGGGGGGGGGGCGCTTCCTGCCTGACCCAGTCTTATTACAGGACCCATAGGGAAGGGGAAAAACAGGTGCCAAGGAGAACACAAAATTTTGGGGTCCCCAATGTTGCCCCCTACCACTTAAATGCTATGAATATGGCCTGATAAAGATATCCTTTTTGTTTGTTTTTGGTGTTGGGGATTAAACCCAAGAGTGCTTTACTACTAATACATTCACAGTCCTTTTTATTTTTATTTTAAGACAGGATCTCACTAAGTTGCTAATAGTCTCGCTAAAGTTGCTGAGGCTCACCTCAAACCTGCAATCCTCGTGCTTCAGCCTCCCAAGTGCCACCATGCCTGCTTTGTCTATCATAGGACCTGTCCCTTTGCTCTCAGCCCAGAAGCCCAGGTCTGTTTGGCTTTGGGAACAGGGATCCAGCAGGTGAGCTAAGGAGGATGCCAATTCCCTAAACTGGCCAACTTGAATCTAACACCCAGAGCCTTGACCACTATGTTGGGACAGCAGCTTAAGGCTGTCAAGATACTTAGTAGGTAGCTGATCAGGAGCGGGAGGAGGAGCTAGAAAAAATACCTCCTGAGACAGACAAGATGGATATCTGGATCCAATTAAAGCCACTGTCTGCTTGTCAAATGCCGGGACCAGGGACTCTCTCAGCAGTGCAGCAGGAAGAATTCATATACCTAGCAGGGGCTCTGCAGTTAAATCAAGGAGATACCGAGGGGTGGGGTAATAAGCAGAGCTGGAGGCTGCTAAAGTATCTGCTAAGTGTCCTCAGGCCCAAACTGCCTGAGCTCTCTACTCTGAGAATTTTAATCCTAGTAGAGGTGGCAAGTACCCCTAGGGTGGGGTACTTGGACAAGGAGTGGACCCAGACTGAGCCCAGGGAGTCTAAGGCATAGGCAAGTCTTGCTCATCCACCCACCTCCCCAAGCAAAACAGTGGAACTGAAATCCCGAAGAAGTACCTTTGATGGGAGCACTGTCCAACATGGGTACCAGGTTGTCCACCTGCTCCAGGAGTGCAACTTGGGAGAGTATAAACTGCTCCTCTAAAGTATAAAGACAAGACAGTGGAATTCAAGCAACCCCAGCACTGCTACTTCAATGCAAGAGGCCAAGCATCTGACGGAAGTCAGAGTTGCTGCCCAATCCTACCCAATGATCCCCTTCTCTAGGTGCATATTGCCCCCACCTTTCCTGGATGTCTTGCCTGACCTATCTTGAGCCCAAAGAGACTTTTGACCTCTCCAAATCCCTCCTTTCTTTAAGTTTTAACTCCAAAGCCTTTTTTTTTTTTTTTTTTTTGAGATACTAGGAATTAAATGGGGGAATAAGCTATGGGCTACACTATACCTGAGCTATATCCTAGCCCTTTTCTATTATTTTATTATTTTATTTATTTTATTTTTTGGTACCGGGGATTGAAGTCAGGGGCACTTAATCACYGAGCCACATCCCCAGCCCTATTTTGTATTTTATTTAGAGATAAGGTCTCCCTGAGTTGCTTAGCACCTCGCTTTTGCTGAGGCTGGCTTTGAACTCATGATCCTCCTGCCTTGGCCTCCCAAGCCACTGGGATTATAGGCATGTGCCATCATGCCTGGTAGCCCTTTTCTATTTTTTGAGACAGGGTCCCACCAAGTTGTCAAGGCTGGCCTTGAAYTTGAAATTCTCCTACCTCAGCCTCCTAAATCACTGGGATTACAGGCTCCCAGGCCTCTTCTTCTAGCCTCCTAATAACTCAGTGCCTCCTAGGTCATAGAAGACAAAGTACTTCAGACTTGGGTCACCATGCCAAAGGCCCCCAGGAAAGTATAGAAGAACAGACACGTGACAAACTATACCAGGCAAGATCTGCTCAGTTTCTCAGAGTCAGAGACAATACAAATGGCAAGAGAGCTGGGACAGCAATGAAAG